AGGCCTGTACTACCACCACCAGCTAAACTCGGAATGTAAGAAAGAAAGAAAGTCACTCTGGCACTCCTACAACATGGGTATGTTACACAGGCAGGGGTAGTGTTTGTTTCATTCCTTAACGGTAGACAGGTTAGACAAGCTTAGCATCTGTCTGAATCTCACACACAGTAATTCATGTTTGATAGCCTGACTCCTGGGCTTCAGCTTTGCCAAGCTTTAATGTTGCCCCCGTGTCTTCTGCTTCTCCCTGTTTGTAGGCACGTCAGCTCTTTAAAGAGCTCTACATTGATCCATCAAAAGTTCACAACTTGTTACAGTTGGGGTTCACAGCCCAGGAAGCACGGCTGGGCCTGCGGGCCTGTGATGGGAACGTGGACCATGCAGCCACCCACATTTCTAACCGCAGAGAGGTGAGTTTTCATTTCTCTCTGCCGCACCCAGGAAGCTCTGACCCTTAGAGAAGGTTAAGAAACAAAGACATGGTAACTTTATTTCTCAACTGGGTAGGAAAAGGCCAGACAGAAGGCCAGAGCCGCATGAAGGAGCACAGGGTCAGGAGGGCAGGGGTAATGTATTGTCTTCCCTTTTTCTGAGGCGGGCTCATGTAGTCCAGGTTAGCCTCAAACTTCCTCCAAAACCATGAGTAACCTTGCTCTGCTGATCCTCCTTGCTGGTACCTACGAGGGCTAGGATTACTGGCATTCATCGCTCTTGGTTTTCTGCAGTGCTGGGGAGAAAAGAAACCTGGGGCTTCACTGATGCTGGGCAGGTGTCTCGGCAGGGCCACACACCCCCACGAATGTCTTAACCATGTCAGCTTGAACCAGAACCAGGGTGGCTTCCTGTCATGGTGGCAGGTTATGCCTCTAGTCTCCTCAGGCTCTTGCTTAACACCATATTGAGTTTATGGAGGGTTTTTCAAAGGCAGCTGAGAGGCCACTATGATCATTTAGAATTGCCTTCTTGCCTGGAGACATGTCAGATCAAAAAAATGAGGTCTTAAAAGCCACACTCTTTATAACAAGTACACACACACAAAAACACACAAATGTTTAGTATTCTAAAATCGAAAGAGGGATCTTGTTATACCCAGTTGTACAATGAAGAACCTGTGGTCCTGAGAGCTGGTGATGTGGTCAGTGTTTTCTCAAAGCTAGAAACTAACAGTCTCCTGGAGCTTTTCAACCAGAGACTCACTGTATGAGAGAGTCTTCCTGTTTCCCTGAAGTACAGCAGTCTGTGGGCCACAGTGGGATAGGAGAAGCCACTAGTGATGTAGGAGTGGAGCTGTGGGTTGGTTGTGTAGTGACCTGTCAGCAGGGCTGTGTGAATGTCTCCTTCACCACAGTCAGCCTCAGTTGGTCCAGTTGTGGTCCCTGGTCCTCGAAGCAGAAGTCAGGGACAGGTCAGGTGAAGCCGCCTCTGTATCATGTAGTTGAGGACGGTAGGAAGCGAGCCTCCCTGACAGTGTTTCCGCCTGTTGCTGCTCCTCCACCAGCATGGTCTCAGGAAAGCCACTGCTTTGAAGGGATTTCTTCAAAAATATGGTATAATACTTGTAGTTCATGTTGTTCTCCCAGTTGTGATATAGTTCAGCTGTCTCTCCCCATGACTGATCTGTTACAGATGAGGTGACCGGTGGCTCACAGACTGCCATTCCAGTGTGGATGAGCCAGGACGGTGACTCAAGCCAGTCCGAGTTCTGTCCTTTGGCCCTATGATAGCAGAGAACTGATTTCTTCCTACAGCTCATCCTGACACACACATACATAAAACCAATTAAAATGTAATGAAAACATTGCAGAATGCTGGGGTACATAAGACACCAGAAATCAATGAGCATGTTTGCATGTATGTGTGTAAGCATGTGCATGTCATACATGTGCGAATTAAGTTATAATCACCCGAGAAAAAGCCCTGAAGAAAGTGATTCTGGGGTTAAGTGAGTTGGTTACCATATTGCCGAGGACCTGGTTCTGTTTCTATTACCCCCTTTGTGTCTGATCACATCCTAAATCACCAGTCCTTGAACTTTGTGCCGATGAGCCAGCCACCCTTGGACCTCTCGTTGAGGCTGGTATGAGCTGAGACCATTCAGAGTCCAGCTGGGAGCTGGCCAGGGCAGGTGGTGTTGGAAGGCACACCTGGTATGGCACACAAGAGGCCCTCCCAAGGGAGCTACTGTCTCAGTTCCTGAGGTTCTTTGTCACAGAACTAAATGGAATCAGGGTGTTTTTTTTTTCCTCTCTCCAAATATATAGAACCAGAGTGTCACTCATGCTGGCAGCCACTCTACCCTAAGTGACATTCTTAGCCCCTTGATATGAATCCCTGGGAAGTTAAGCTGAGGCTTGGATGACCTTCCACCCTAGCAGGAAACTCTCCTGCCCCTGGCACCTAAGCATATAAGAACCTACCTGTTCTTATGAAGTACTGTGCTGACTGTTGCCACTCCTGGGCCTCAGCCCAACCTTAACACTGTCCCTGTGCCTCCGGCCACTTTTCGTGGCAGGATAGGTAGAGGTCCCTTTCTGTTGTTCTCCAGCCCAGAGACCCTGACAAACCCTGCAGATTCCTGTGCTGCCTCCACCTCTAACTCACGGAGCCTTCTTTTCCTAAAGGAACTGGCCCAAATACGAAAGGAAGAGAAGGAGAAGAGGAGACGCCGTCTGGAAAATGTCAACACTTTGAGAGGAATGGGCTACTCCACACAAGCTGCCAAACAAGCCCTTCACCAGGCCAGGGGCAACCTGGACGATGCCCTGAAGGTAATGCTTCCTGGCTTGAGTGTGAGCACTGGGTATACCCACCAGCCCAGCCAGCTCCTGTGACTCTGCTTCACAGCCTTCCTGTGATATCCCTCCTAAGTCTCAGGATAGTTGGAGATGGGGTGCAGTCAGGTCTGCACAAACCAGTGGTAGACAGAGATGAATGCACAGGGCCAGAGGACAGTTGGCCTGGCGCTCTTGGGATGGGGAATATCACTGGTGATGGGGCTGACCAGGCAGGGACCAAGGTCACTATGTCAGCATGTCTTCAGGCAGCAGAGCTCCCTGCACCCATCCTCTGCTTCAGGAGGCCCAACTTTCTCATTTTTTTACTTGTGTGTGCATGTACACCCATGTCCACATATTTGTGTGTCTTTGTTTTATTTTTTGAGACAAGGTCTCATTATGTAGCTCACGCTGTCCTGGAACTCAATATGTAGACCGTAGACCAGGCTGGTACCAAACTTAGAAATCCGCCTGCCTCTGCCTCCTAAGTGTAGGGTTAAAAGTGTGCACCACTATGCCCAGCTCATATACATTTAAGTTATAATGTAATTTGAATATGAAGCTTGCAGTTTTGTGTTAGACAAATATAAAAAACAGGGAAGTCTAACCATCTGAAGAAACCAGTGAGATTCAAACTGTTAATTCAAGAAGGCCATGAAGCTGGAGAGATGCCAGTTATAAAGTACTTATCTTGCAAGCATGAGGACCTGAGTTTGATCCTCAGAACCCAGGTAAAAATGCCAGGTGTGCTGGGCCACATCCTTGTACTGGGAAGGTAAAACAGGAAGATGCCAGGATCTCCCTGGCCAGCTGAGGCCCCCCTTTCCTGCTTCTGCACAACCTACTGTAACATTCTGTCCTCATTTGTCCCCCGAGTGGATGCTCTAGGCTGTGCACCTACATGTGAGATGGTGGTTAGGTGAGTAAAGAACATCCCTGTCTGTGCTTGCAGGTTCTCCTCAGTAACCCCCACATGTGGTGGTTACAGGATTCAGACCCTGAAAACAACAGCCGTCAAGCAAGTCCTTCTCAGGAAAGCATCGACCAGGTGAGTGTCGGTGATGTCTGTCACTGTAGCAAGTGCTGGCTGGAGCCATGGGATGGTGGCAGGAGGAGTGCGCCTGCTCCTAGGCTTTAAGCAGGACCTGCCATCTCTGGGAGGACCTCAGGCATGTGCAGCAAGATGGATGTGGTTGGGGAGCGGGGGGTTGAATGAGAGGAGCTTCTGTAGAAGGGAAAGGGGATGGGAATGATAGTGCACACCTTTAATCCTACCAAGCACCTAGAAACAGAGGCAGGTGGGTCTTTTAATTCAAGGCCAGCCTGATCTATATAGTGAGTACCAGACCAGGGCTACATAGTGAGACTCTGATCCCTGAAAACAGCAAGAAGCACTGCAGTGGGAGGTACCCTTTGCCTTCAGTTCTCATTTGCCCCTTTCCCATGTTCCACTGTTCTGTTGGTCCTATTCCTCTGCCTGGGATCTAAGAGGATGTCACTGTGTCCTGTGAAATTCAGTTCACCATATACCACATGTTAGCATGGCCCATGTATTGTGGCCACTTAACTTGTGGTTAGATTTTCATATACTTGCTTTCAGCCCCAAGGTGGCCAGTCCTGAAGTGAGTGCCTAGGACCTGTTGGACCAGGTCTTCAGATACCCTGTCTACATGGCCTGTTGTCTGTGGGGGCTGAATAGGGCCTTGTCAGAAAGAAAGGCCAGAGGATGCATGCTGCATTCTTTAATTACATACAGAAACCCAGGAAGCAAAGTTGTAGGTGCTGTGCCAGGCTGACAGTAGCAGATGTGATCGTCCACCTGACTGTGTGGGCAGAGTGCATGGTCACTTCTAACCCTGGGGTCTCTCCTAGCTGGTGTACATGGGCTTTGACACAGTGGTGGCTGAAGCTGCACTAAGGGTGTTTGGAGGCAATGTCCAGCTGGCAGCTCAGACACTTGCACACCATGGAGGAAGCCTCCCTCCTGACCTGCAGTTCTCAGAAGACTCCTCCCCCACACCATCCACATCCCCGTCTGACTCTGCAGGTAGGCCTGGGGTCTGGGTGCCTCACTCATGGCTGCACTCTGCTCAGTGTGAGCCGATGGCAGCTGTGAGCCTGAGGCAGAGGCTAAGCTGGAGGCTGAGGGGTCATCACTAGGGTTCTGCCAGGACAAGGTGGCTACCAAAGGCACTGTCGGGCACCTCTCCTCTGTGACCTGTGGTGTTTCACTGCAGGGACCTCTAGTGCGTCGACAGATGAAGACATGGAGACAGAGGCTGTCAACGAAATCCTGGAGGACATCCCAGAGCATGAGGAGGACTACCTCGACTCCACGCTGGAGGATGAAGAAGTCATTATTGCTGAATACTTGTCCTACGTAGAAAGTATAAGTTCTGCCGCAAAGAACAACTGATCAGAAATAAGTGCTACGTTTCCGCTATAAATTCTGTCGTTGTGAATGGTTGAATGCTTCTTTGCGTTCCTCTTGCTTTTCAACGATTTTGCTCTAAGTAGGCCTTCCTCCTCAGGTACAGGGCCCAGCGTAGTGAAGAGACTTTGAGACTTCGTCGGTCAGAGGACAGTCTAGGAAAGGGAATTCCCCAGCCCAGCTCTGCTGTTCCCCTTCCTCCTCTAGGTCTGCATCCCTTACTGCCACTCTGTTGGTTTTCCATCCAGAACAGGGAAGCAGGTCCCCTGGAGGTCCCTGGGGAAGGTCTGCAAAGGGTCTGGGACCCTGTCTCCTGAGCTAGCCCTCCTGTGCACTCCCCCTCCCCTTCCTGCTGCTGAAACTGCCCTCCTTAGCCACCACCCCTGCTGTGCAAGCTTACCTCAGCCCTGGCTGCCCTGCCCTACCCCTTGAATCTTCATTCCAAGTGCTGTAGATTGCAGCAGTGAGGTACAGGCCGCGGCAGATGGTGCAGATACCTTGATCTAGAAATGTCAGTGTTTTGTGCTCTCAGATCAGTAAAATCTGTACTTAAAATTCAAGGTTGCAAAATCAGTTTCTATGGATTCTAAATTCCTCATACAAAATGAAAATCTTTTATTAAATGGAAAAGTTTTAAATGCTAACCACAGTAAGTTATTTTTAATTAACATCTCTAGACTGAAAGCTTCCTGACAGCCAAGAGACCTGAGATTGCCATCTGCTTTCTCAAGTCTCTCCCTGGGTTTCCTATGGCTGGGTCACAGCAGACCCTTGCTGAAGAAGGGGCTGTCAGCCTTTGGTTGCTTAGTCCTGAGTGTGGACCAGGCAGATAGCCTTCTAGCACCCAGTACGGTAGCAGCCAGATGTGGCGTGGGCCAAATGCCACTGTGTTTCTGAGAACCTCTCACCTGAAGCCTTGGCAGCAGACTAAGCTGGACACGTATGATCGTCTCTAGCTATTTATTTGTAAATGACACATTTACTTGTGTGGGGACGGGCAAACATACCATAGCACAAGTCTGGAGGTTCACAAGACAATGTGTGGAAATTGGTTCTCTCTTTGCACCACACAGGTACCAGGGACTGAACTCAAGTTGTCAGGTTTGGTGGCAAGCCCCGCTCCCTGATGTTCTTATTGGCCCCCTTGCTGTTCTTTGGAAGTGAACGATGCTGATGGAAATAAACGTGGGGAATGCACTTGAATGTCTTTGGTCTAACGCAGTAAATTGTTTCCCAGCTGTTGGCGTGATCATTCAATTCTGTGTTGGGAGTGAGTGGAGTATAGCCCCCAAAAGCAGCATGGGAGGCTGGAGTGCAGCTCTGCAGCAGAGCCCACGTTGGGTCGGTGTGGGCTCCATCTCCAGCATCCAGAGTTCAGGTATGACCAGGAATGAGCAAGTCTCAGCAAAGGGATGTGAAGCAGGCCACCAGAGTCTGTGTCTTCACACATGCAGGGTGAGGGGAGTTGCCTTGAAACCACTGGCCAGCCAGTTACTGCCCTGGGCATGGTGCCAGCTGTGCTTGCTGGCTTCCCAACTGTTTAAATGCTGATGGAGAACACTTAAAACCAGGGTGGCACTGCCATGCTAGCAGGCCCTGACTACATGCGTCCACCTATGGAGGTACACAGTGTTGGGGAAGGGCCATGGGCAAACGCCACCAGCAAGACACTCTGGCTTGGAGACTGTAGTGACCATACAGGACAGCTGAAGCTGGAGAGTTAGCAGCCTGGGGTGGGGTTAGAGAGAATTGGTACAAATTCTGTTCTGGACAGGGTAGGGGAAAGAGACAGCAGAGTGATTTATGAGTTGGAGGGAAATGGTTCTGGGTGCACCAGGAGGGTGTGTTGTTGGGAGAGGAATGAAGGTAAAAGGCTACCAAGGCCTTTCGCAGAGCCCCACAAACCAGGAAGGAACTGGACTGGACGTGGCAGAACACCCAGAGGCTGGAGGACTGGGCAGGCATGAGGGATGGTTATGGGGGATGAAGTCAGCCTGAAGCTGTACAGTGAGATCCTGGGTTTGGTGTCACTGATGCTGACCATGTCACTTGTTAAATTGTTCTTGTGGCCAGGCATCTGGCAGAAAGTTCCTGTTCCTTCCTCTGGCCAACTAAGCGTGTCACCTGCTTTCTTCCTCTCAAAGGCTGAGCATGCCCTCTGCCACTGAACTAACTCCTTCCTGGTGTGTCCACAGTGGACCTGTGGCTCAGCATTTAACGGTTCCACACATACGCAGCCCGCAGCTGCCAGGAACCTGAAGAGTGCAGGGCACCTTCATGTCTTCAGCATGAAACCAAGGCCTCTGCTAGAGAAGTAGAAACCCAATGCAAAATGTCTCAGTGCTTTCCCAAAACCACACAGCAACCCATCATAGGCTCCCATCTGGCTCCCAGACAGTCCGAGTCCATCCTTCCTGCCAGCCCTCCTAGCAGGGTTCTATCTAGGGAAGATAACAATAGTTAAAAAAAATAGTGGTATACACCTTTTATCCTAGCACTAGGGAGGCACAGGCAAGTGCCTGTGTGAGGTACCTAGAGTGCAAGGGCAGCCTGGTTGACAGAGTGTGTTCCAGGACATCCAGAGCTACACAGAGAAACCCTGTCTCAATCAACAAACCAAATTGTATGTGTGTCTGTGTATTGTGGGTACAGGTGCCCGTGGACACCAGAAGAGGGCATTTGATCTGCTGAAACCAGAGTCACGGATGGTTGTGACAGATTAACATGGGTGCTAGGAATCAAACTCTGGTCCTCTGTGAGAACAATGCATATGTGCTCTTAACCATGGAGCCATCTCCCCAGCCCCTGTGGCTCCTACATGTGTCTAATGATTCCCACATTTGGCATATTGCTAGCATTTCTGCAGAAGACCAGAGGGCCCTACCCAGCTTTTCAACTCCATACCAAAACAGAAGAGAGCTCTTGGAATAATCTCCAAAAATGGGTGGGTCCACCAAGCCAGAAGGACCTCCTGTCAAGCAGGCTGGTTGAAGAGCTAGTCCCTTGCTTCCTGTCCTCTCCTAAGGTCACTGCTGTATAGATGACCTTGTTTCACAAGCCCTTTTCTCAGAAGGGAGATGACCAGGCCAGGTACTGGAGACCACAGCTGTGGCAGAAGGCCTCCAGAAGGAAACCAAACAAAGACAACTTGAAGCACTTAGAGAGTGTATTTGGATTCTTCAGGAGGGTCCTCGTGGCACTTGATTTGCCAGTATGACAGTCTAGCTCCGTGGATTTTGTAAGAAGTCACCATTTTCTCCCAGCTGAGAGAGCCTGGCAGCCCAGGGTTCAGCTATCAGAGTTGGAGGCCCTGCCTTGGCTAGAAGTATCCAGGTAGCAAGGCCTTGGTTCAGAGCAAGGACAAGAGGGACCTTCTCTTCCTCCACAGTGGGAAAGATCATGAGGGCAGGTGCATGCCCTGCTGCAGGCCACTGTAAAACAAGCCAGGTCTCAGTCCAACCGTTTCCTCTCCAGGCCCTCAGGCTGGCTGTAGGGGCACTGGAGCTGCACAGGCCACCTTGTTGCTAAAGAGGCGTGACAGGCTGCGCTTGGCTGCTGGCCTTCGTGGCAAAGGTGGCACCGACTGGAGACCACGTACATCCCAGAGGCGAAGAGCACCATCATGAGATGCTGTGTAGAGCACCTGGCCGTGGACCTGGAGGCAGGCAGGAAAGCTGTCAGCCATGAGCAGACCACTGGAGTTTCCTCCCTGTGGGAGACCCCTTGCTTCCCCGGGGCAGTAGGGAGCTGGGCAGGGAGAATCCTACCTGGAGACAGTTGATGACGAAGGTGTGGCCTCGGAACACCCTCTGCAGCACTCCTGACTGGGCATCAAAGGCCCGGGCGCAGGCATCCCCACTGCCTGTGAACACTGTGGACACACAGCAGTACACTGGGCCCTTCCTGGCTGCTACTCTGCCACCTCCCCAAGACAGGGACAGGGTGAGAGAGTAGCATGACCTCCTAAGGGCCAGATGGTAAACATCTGGAAGCTTTCTGAAGGGAAACTTGGGCTCTCAGTCCTATGAAGTCAGGGAGGTCACTGAGGGCCCCAGAAGTATGACTGTCATGCTTCCCTTGACTTCAGGTCACCCTGTGCTGTCCTGAGTGGCCCTGTCTCTCAAGGACCTCTCAGAACCAGGTACCCATCTTATTCCCTACTGGGTTAGGCAGGTTTCTCTGCCTCGTGGTTCTAGGGCAGTCACCTCATCCTGCAGGCTCTCTACCCTGCCCATTCACCCACTATACCTACTAGACCAGCAAGAGCTCATCCACCCTCGTCAGAGAGGAACGTGGCCTTGAAGCAGAGCCCAGGCTCTCTGGCACTCTCCTGCACCCGACAGCCCATCTGACTCCCTCCTTGGGGTCTTCCTCTGTTGTTACTTGGCTTGGTGTCAAGGACACCAGAGTCCCTGAAATACTTGTTAGGACAGATGTCTGAGCACCACCCCATGCTTTCTGCTGCAGTGAGAGGGACTATGACTCTGTTTTAACAGTACGAGTAAGGCCAGTGATGAGGCCCACCTGGAGTAGCCACCGAGGGAAGTGAGTGGTTCATCATCATCCTACACTAACTTCCCCAGAAGCTGCCCTGCCCTGAGCAGGAGGCCAGCAGTTCACACGGCAGACAATGCAGGAAGCACAGGAAGAAAAAGCACATGGGGCCTGTTAGTGAGCACAGAACTACTGCAGGTGGCTGGGATGGGGGTGGGGAAACTGTTAGGTCCAGCTAAGAGGTAAGGATGCTGGGCCACTATGTACCCTTCAATACCCCTGGTGAGGGAGCAATGCCTGGGTATTGGCTCCCAGCAATCCTATTTGCTCAGTCTTAGCTGTCAACTTGACACAACCTAGACTCTCCTGGGAAGAGAATCTCAGTGCAGAATTATCTAGATCAGGATAGCCCTGAGGCACTTCCTGGTTGTTAACTGAAGTTGGAAGACTGAGCACCATTTCATGGACTGGGGGCATGATTTTCTGAGCTTGGCCCTGAACGGCATGAGTGAAGAAAGTGTGCTGAGCAGAAGCCAGCAGCAGGCAGCACGGTTGCGCTGACTGACTCCTCTCTTGCCTCGGAATGCGCAGAAACCGGCGCTCAAGCTCCTGCTACAACCTCCCTGCAACCTGGAACTGTAAGACGGACCCTTTCTTTCCTCCCGTGTTGTCCTTTGTCAGGGTATTTAGAGACAGGAGAAACTCCCAAGGCCATCTTGTATTTGCCACTGTGCACCTGGCTAAAGCCAGCACCTCTAGGCTGTTCCCTGGTACACTGCCTTTGACTGTACAACTTCCCCTCTGGGTCCTGGGAAGTTTCCTTGCTGGGTTTCCTCAGTCCCTTCCTTGTCTCTCCCCCGTGGGGCTGCTGGGCCCCCTGAGTAGGCAGAGTCAGGAGCAAAGCCCATTCTGTAGCCTTGTTGGCAAAGACCAAGAGCCAAGCTCTGTCATAGTGGGAGGGGCCGTGGGGAGTGGGAGGGGCCACGGAGAGTGGGAGGGGCCATGGACAAAGACTTCAGCACAGCTGTGCCAGTTGCTGCCAAAGGGAGGGGCACAGGAGGCCACCTGGCGGTGTCTAGGGGCTAATCATTCTGTGCTCAGTTAAGAGAGAAGTCCCATTGGGATGGGTATGGCTCTCATGCCTCACTGGACAATGACAGGGGGACCGGAGCCATTACAAGGTCCCCTTCAATTACTGGAGGTCAGGCCTCTATCCCTGCCTTCGAAAGATTAGAATCACCACAGCCCTTCTATACTTAGAGAAGGGAGGAGATGTCAGGGGCAGCCCTGCTTATACACTGAAAGCCTAAAATCAGCCATAGGCCTAAAATCAGCAATAGGCCTGTCATACATGTATACTAACACCAAGTCTTGGGTCTCTGTGGAAAAACATTGAAACAGATGGCTATAAGCTATTGTAGACAGGCAGCTTGTATGGAAATTTACCAGCCTGAGTAGTCATAGACCTTGTAAATAGGTAGCCTTGGCACAACTGAATCATAGGCAGAGTCATAGTGACCTGTCCCCTGAACCTTCACCCAGCCGATATCCTGTTCTGAAAGATATCTGTATTCCCCATGAACACCCACCCTCCAGTGTCATTCCCTTCCCCATGTCCTGCCTTTTTGTGTTTATTTATTTATTTATTTTGGCTTTTTCGAGACAGGGTTTCTCTGTGTAGCCCTGGCTGTACTGGAACTCACTCTGTAGACCAGGCTAGTCTCGAACTCTCGAACTCAGAAATCTGCCTGCCTCTGCCTCCCAAGTGCTGGGATTAAAGGCGTATGCCACCACCGCCTGGCCCTTTTTGTGTTTATAACCCCTGTGTGGATGAGTATAAATTACAATTTAAAAAAAAATAAATAAATAAATTTAAAAAAAAGAGAGAGAGAGAGGTCCCTGCTCAGGGAGCAGAGCTATGCCCATACTAAGGCTCAAACATGGGAGGAAGGAAAAACAGCTTCCCCGTGTCAGGCTATCTGCCCAGTCCTCACATACCCGTGCTTTCTTCCCTCAGCTCCTTTACATGAAGTCAAGTTCATTTTCCACTAGGAAGATACTCGTAGGCCCGTCCCTATGGGAGTCTAACACCTGTTTCTGTTAGGAGCTCAGAAACTAGATAGAACAGGGACAGCCATCAGTGAAGCTGAGAAAGTGATGAAGGCCCAGGTGTGTGACCATCTGGGACCTGAAAGACAGAAAGCTTCCTCCCTATCCAACAAGCTATTCTATCCAGAGTAACCAGGATCCATCTCTATAGCTGTGTCCCACCTTAGACTGGGATCCCACCTTTCCTGCACAGAGTGGTCAAAACTGCATGTGGCACCCGAGGGTGGGGTTCCCTGGACCTCAAAGGGACCTACTCAGCTTAAAAAAAAAAAAAAATGCCCTTAGCTCTTCCCTCTGCCTGCCTGCCTCAAAGACCACACAACTGCTGGTTTTCCAAGAACTACCTTGATCCATGTTGCCCCACTTAAGATAAGAGATGCCTGCCATCCGGGAGCCATGGATTCCAGCCTAAACTGTCAGCCTCTGGAACAACAAAAAGCTCATTTCATCCACTATCACCTAAGGCCAAGTGAGGTCAAACCCATGGGCCCTCTAGCCTGGCCAAATTAAGGAGATGTTTCTGTCTCACCTGGAGATTAGAATGGAACCAGTTAGCTCAGTCAGCACAGCATGAGGTACTTAAAATGTGTCCTTGAGACACGCTTTTGACTCAAGGACCCTGAGTGTCTAGGTCCTCCACATTCTCATAAAGGTGAGAAGGAAGTTGTAAGCCCTTACTTGAACCCTCTGTGCAACTCTCTTGGGACGCAGGTACCTGGAGAGGGGGCTGTCTTAACCTTAGGCCACCAATGAAGTAGAAAGTTAGCGGGGCTCAGTGTTAGCAAACCATGCAGGCATGAGATGCAAGAGACAAACCAGGAAAAAGAAGGTAGGGTGGGTAGCCTGGGATGGCCAGGACAGATCACTTACAGGTGCCTGCGTGATACTTGAGGGCACTCACACTGTGTCTATGTGCCGGGAAGGTGCGTACCCTCTCCCCGGTATCAGCCAGCCAGCACTTGACCGTCCTGTCTGCACTGCCCGAGTACAGGAGCCGGTCTGTGAGCTGTAGGAAAAGCAAGAGGGTTAGCCCATTGGCCTTGATAGCTGAGCAAACCTCAAACTGTTCTCTACAAGGTAGGAAACATTAGCAGGTCTCAATGGGGAAAATCAGGGTGACCCCAGAAAGTACTCCCCACGATCAACTGCAGCACTGGATAATGCTGGTTCCTCTCTGCTGGTGCATTTGGACCCCAAAGGCAGAGTACCCTCAGCCCTAGAAAACCCTGTAGTCCCCACACAGAAACTACTAGACCTTATTAAATAGCCCTACAGACTCCAGACCCATGCAGACCCACAAAGAGTATGCAAGTCCAGAGAGAACCCTGCAGACCCAGACAGAACCTGCACATGCCAAACAGCTCTGCAGACCCAAACAGAGCCTACACACCCAGACAGGACCTGCAGACCAAGACTGAGCCCTTCAGATGCCAGACAGAGCTCTACAGACTCAGACAGGCCCCGCAGACCCAGACAGAACCTACAGACCCAGACAGAACCTGCACGTGTCAAACAGAGCCCTGCAGACCCAGACAGAGCCTGCAGACCTAGACAGAGACTCTCATCACCATACAGCCCTGCAGACCAGAGAGCTGCCACAGACTCAGAGCTTCTCTCTACTATCTGGCTGTTCTTCCTCCACAGGCTCTCTAGTAAAGACTTGGTTCCCAGCTGATGACACTCAGAAATAGCAGAGCCTCTGGAGGATAGTAGGAAGCTGGCAAGTTCAATGTCCAAATGTAAACAGAAGCCCTCTTCTGCCTATACACTATCCTCATCCACTGCAGTGACTCCCCAGAACTCCCCGCAAGTGGGGACACACTGAGTCATGCTCCAGGTGAGGGTCAGGCTACTTTCACACTTACAGCCCACAAGAAACGTAGAAGGAAGGCTCTTGTCACCACTAGCATATTAAGTGAGAAAACTGGTGCCCAAGAATATGAAGGCCGATAATACACTACCCCAAATCCAGCAGCAGAGGTGGTGTGTTTAGACTCTCCTTGCATGCTAAAAAGCTGAGAATGTCCTGTCTCCAGGGGAAGAAAAAGGTTCTTATCACCAAAGACAGAAGCTCAGGCCCAGAAAATACGGACATAGGACAGGCCTTCAGGGTTTTTGTTGATGTTGTTTGTGTGTATGTGTGTGTGTGTGTGTGTGTGTGTGTGTGTGTATGTACATATTTCTAGCATGTGTGCATATGTGTGTATTGTATATGTGTGTCCATGTATGTGGAGAGCTCATGTTCCTAGCATGTATATGTATGTGCAAGTGTGTATATGTGTGTGTATATACGCATGTGTGTGCATGTGTGAGCACACGTGCATGTGGAGAGGCCAGTGGTCAACCTCTGCTCTCCTCCCTTTGATGGTGTTCTGAGCTCACGAGATTAGGCTGTCTGGGCGGCAAGTCATAGGGACCCTTTGTCCCTCTGTCTCCAGAACTGGGATTATACTCACGTGCCACAACACCCAGCTTTTCTGCTTAGTGCTGGGAAGAACTTGGGTCCTTAGCTTGCATAGCAAGCCTCTGAACCACCTCCCCAGCCCTGTTTTTCCAGACAGGGCTTTGAAGCTGGCTTCAGATTTCCTCCTGGCCTCCACAGCACTAGGACTCCAGGTGTTCTCAATCACACCCAGCTCACACCGTCCCTTTCTCTGTGAGATCACTTCAGTGGCATTATCTCCCCTTTGTCTGGACATTTTCATGAATCTTCCTCTTCAGCCAACCTAGGGTCTTTTCCTGGCAAGGTCTGCACTTCTGGGATCTGAACATGTCTCCCCCAAAGCATGGACCACACACTTTTCCCAGAGCAAGAGGGCCTGGGGTCAGGTGTAGTGAACACCTTTAATCCCAGCACTCGAGAGGCAAAGGCCGATCTCTGTGAGTTCAATGCCAGCCTGTCTACATACAGAGTGAGTCCCAGGACATCCAGGGGGGCTGTTACACAGAGAGATCTTGTCTTGAAAAAAACAAAACAAAAGAAAAGAAAAAGGCTGGGCAGTGGTGGCGCACACCTTTAATCCCAGCACTTGGGAGGCAGAGGCAGGTGGATTTCTGAGTTCGAGGCCAGCCTGGTCTACAGAGTGAGTTCCAGGACAGCCAGGACTACAAAGAGAAACCCTGTCTCAAGAAAAAACAAACAAACGAACAAAAGAAAAAGAAAGGAAGAAAGAAAGAAAGGTGTTTAGACCATGAGAACTCCACCCACTCCACATTTGAAAGGATGCACAGCCTGATGCTCTGAACAGGCTGGTCCTATGAACTGGGCCAACCAAAGGCCTGATACTATGGGTGGGCTTCAGTTCCCTCCATTCCCACCTTCCAGCAATACCACAGAGCAGCAGTTGGACAGGTCTCACCTCCAGACATATGACAGAGCCCTGGTGCTCCCGGAAAACCCGCAGCTGTTCTCCACTCAGGATGTCCCAAGCACGAACGGTGGCATCGGTGCTACCTGTGAAGGCTGTGTGACTGGAGACATCCAGCACCAGGCACAGCACTGCACCTGTGTGGCCCCGAAGTGTCTGGTGGCAGCAGCCACTGGCCACCTGCCACACCTTGGCTGTGTCGTCTGAGCTGCCAGTCACGAGGAGCCCGCCACCCATGGCTGCCTCCAAGCAGGGATCTCTGGGAAGGTCCTTGGGAGCAGAGTAGGCTATTGTCAGTACACAGTTACGGTGGCCCCGGAACTCTTGGGACACTTGTCCGTTGTCCACAGTCCACACACGAGCTGTCCGGTCATAGGAGCTGCTGAAGAGCTGGTCACTGGCAACTAGGATCCTGTGGGTAAGAGGGGAGGGGTCAGGCTCAGAACACTCAGGGGTGAAGGAATCCGCCCAGCCTTCATGGGCTAGCTTTGGCACTTCAGCAGACACAGCTTCTAGTCTCTGCCCCGCTCCACACTCAATGAGCTAGCTCAACATCATTCTTCTGCCCTGTCTCTCCCTCAGTCACCCACTCATCCTCCATTCTTTCCCTCGGTGACAAACCTGATGGTCCAACCTTTGTTCCAGCAAGGAACATGTCTCAAGTGCGTGAATCCATGTAACACTCTAGGCCAGACGCATAGGAGGAAGAGGGGACAAAGGAAGGAGGGGACACACTCAGGAAGCTGCAGCAGGAGGATTGCTTTGAATTCAAAGCCAACCTGAGTTACATAGTGAGTTTAAGGCAAGACCAGGGTAAAGAACACGAGCCTGCCTCAAAGAGCAAAACAAAAGCAACGAAGAAAGTCTAGGGCTATGTGAGACCATCGGCCTCCTTAGGACAGTCTGGTAAGGCCTATCTGGAGGGCTATAAGGAATCTGGGAGCCCTTCTGCCACTCTGGCACCAGAGTGTACTCAGGGGTGGCCGAGGGAGACACACAGGCAAGCTGCTGTTCAGAGTAAGCCTCTGCTGTCAACAGGAGAGACCCTGCCACTCCAGGGCAGCCCAGACTCCAGACACATGACTGGCAGGGGCAGGCACATGGCCACAGGGAACTCTGGATATGAGGTATCAGAAGGGCAATCATGCAGCAGGCTGGCGCACCACAGCATGGAGCTTGAGTGAGGGGTAACTACTGACAGCGTGCTCTCACACGGCTAAAAGCTACAACTTTGCCAAAAGAGCACATCTGTCTTTGAACTTTGCACAAAACTTCCAAGTGTGCATTTACACACTGTCGTTAAGAAGTCTTGACTAACCTACCAGGTATGGCCCATGGCGCGTGGTTCCCCGGAGAGTACAGACTAATATATGTTAATGATACCTCTTTCTTGCAGCTCCAATGTCCACACAGCCTGCTCCCACAAGCAGTTAGCTACCCTGCTCGATTCAGTCCTACACAGTTGTCTTCTTGACTCATGCCACCAGGCTTCGCTGACCTGTTCACGATGGATGTGTGCCCTCGGTACACCTGCAGACACTGCCCGGTCTTCACGTCCCACCTCCGGATGGTGCAGTCGGCGCTACAAGTGAAGGCGGCCTCATCCTCCAGCTGACAGAAGGTCACATAGCTCTCATGTCCTACGATGAGAGGAAACGTGAGCCAACCAGGTACTGACTCTTGTCTTCCTGTGTGTGCAAGCATATAAAGGAGAAGGAGCAGCAGGGAACAAGCATGCGAGGCAAGTCTTCAAGAGACTAGCCCTCCCCTCTATTAAACGGACAGAGACTTAATTTGTAGCCCAGATTGGGCTTGAACTCACAATCCTGCCTCAGCATCCAGGGTGATCAGATCCTAGGACAAAACCACCATGCCCAGTAAGACTGTCCCTTTTGTGATTGTGATTGTGCATGTGTGTGTGCGCACGCGTGGGAGAGAGAGAGAGAGAGAGAGAGAGAGAGAGAGACACGTGTGCACATGAACATGGAGATGATGTCATGTTCTACCACTTTCTGTGTTCCTTTCAGAGTCTCTTACTGAACCTGGGGCTAGGCTGAGGATGAGCAAAGTCCCGGTGATCCTCCTGTCTCTACTGTCTCTCTCTTCTACAGCACTGGGATTATAGTAGTTTGCAAAATAAAATAAAGAAAATAAAATGCTCTCCATTTTTTACTAGGGTCCTGGGAATTGGAACTCAGGTCCTCCATGTGTATGTACCAAGCACTGAGCCATGTCCTCATGGACCCACTCCTCTGGTCTGAGATGTTTTCATGTAGTCCAGGCTGGCCTTGGACTCCTGATTTTCCTGCATCTACCTCCCACCCTTGGGATTAAAAGCATGTGCCACCACACCCAGGTCTTTAATTTCCTTCGAGAATTTCCATTTCTCTGCTGGAGTCAGGCAAACAGGAATTTTAGCAATCCCCTCCCCAACTCCCCCCTCCCCCAGCAGGATTGAGCTGATTAACTTTTATTTTAGGTCTTGGGTTAAGCTTAGCTTGGAAGAACATGACTTCCTGGGTTCTAAGAAACAGAATTTTAATAAAGAAAATTGTTCACTCTTCCCGGAGAGCACATGCCAGGCTGCTCTGAAAACAGTGCAAGATTAAGTAAACTTAAGAAACAGCAGATTGTGTTTCCCCGAATACACAAGTTGATGAAAAAGTTGAGGGCAAATCTGTTTGGCAAAACACTGTCAGGGTTTTGCCAGAGTTTATAAATATTTCTTAAAGTTGTCAACAAACTTTCCCTGAGACCAATCTGCCTCACCCCCACCCCACAATGCCTCTTAGAGCCTGAGATACCCCCAAGAGAGGTAGCCAAGGGAAGCCACGCCTACCAGGTTCTGGCATAGGCATGACTCCAGGGCCCCCTAATAACTCTGGATAGATGTCACTACCCTTGGCCCCTAAGGACCCTGAGCCAAGGCTGGCTGAGGCCCAGAGCAGACTGCCCCAGCAGCGCCCAGCTACTGACACCCCATCTACACAATGGGTCAAGTGCAGGAGTGCATTAGAAATTGAACCATGAAGAGGCACTTGAGAGCCACGGATAGCTATTGAGAAGTAGCACCCTGATTCTGAGGCACCGCAGACAGCCTGCCTGCTGAAGACCTGAGGTGCAGGTGGCTTTGTGGCCTGTTAGGGAGAGAGGGACCGAGCACACAGACCACAAAGGAAAGAGGCAAAAGACGAAAGCACCAGTTTTCAATGTAAAACACCCTCATATAGAACTGCAAGCCAGGCTGACCTGGCAGCCTCTGCCCCCTGCAGCCAGGCACTGAGCCAAGTAAGGCTCCGCGGCACTCAGGACGGCAAAAGGCAGGCCCCTTTCCACTCCTCTATAGCTCACTCCCCAACTAGCGAACACGCCCACTTGGGTCACGGGTCAGAGCCTTCCAGCAGAGGCCCTGGACTTGCCTGTGCCTGTTCCCTTGTCCATTCCCCCAGCACCCCACCCCACCCCAGTATACTACCAAAAGACAGATGGGCCAGACCCAGGGCTGGTGGGGTCACCACAGAGGGTGGGAGGAGCTGTCTGCCAGCTCTCGGCCTATCACCTCCAGGGACCTCGTCTGGCTTTCAGCTGTTGGAATTGTGCAGAATAAGCAAAAACTCCAAGCTGAAAGTAAATATTTTCGAAGGGATAAAGAATGCAGATAAGATGCAGTTACTGCACTCAGAAAAGCAGCTGGGGGGTGGGGGGGGGCTCCTGCTGAGGCAGCAGCCCTCCTCACCCGCGCGCGCCCGTCGCTGCCTACTTGCCTAGACCTGTTGTTCCCTCAGCACAAAGGAAAAGCGGTCCAGGACCCAGGGCTGCAGCGGACCCCAACTGCAACAAGTCTCTCGACACAGCATGAAACAAGGCCTCCCTTCCCTGCCACTTCCTCCCAGAGTACAAGCAAGTATTGCAATTTGTGGAGAGAGGTACACTACCATGTAGCCCGGTCTTCTCACCTCCAGTTGGGTTCACAGAGTGGGAGAACCTCTAGGCCAGAATGTTACCCTGGGCTCTGACACTGGGCTGCCTCAGGCTGGCGGTGGCCCTGCAGTAAAGGTCCCCTTACCCCAGAGGAAACTTCTCCACAGCTGTCTCCTGGGGAGAAGCAATGGCCAGTTGTTCCACTCTGTGTACTCTGCCAGCTCCAATGTTGCTGTCTCAGAGGCTCATGAGTTATCCTATGGAAAGGAAGCCAGGACTCTGAAATACAGCCCTTCAGCAGGTGACATCTAGCACCCAGATGTGCCAGAGTGGTCCTTGTCAAAGGTGCCAGGACCCATGGTCTATCTGCAGGCCATCATTTAGAACTGAGAATCACACAGGGCTTCTGTGAGGAACTCAGAGACCTGTCTGCTCCCAGCTACCCACCATCAGCCACACAGACAGAGCCTACTCCTTCAGCACCAGCCCAGCCATAGCTCCTCCCACTGCCTCACTCACCACTCTGCCACCTTCCCCTCAGCCTTCTGAACAGGACAGGGAGCCTACCACTCATGCAACAGCAGACTCCAAAATGCTAAAGATGGAGTACCTCCTGCCATGACTAAAACAGAGACCATTTTTGTGGAATTCTTTCTTGAGCAGATACTGCTTTCCCTGTGTGTAGCAGCACTCAGGGCATGTAAGAGCACAGACAGCTCAGTAGTTAAGAGCACTGGCTGCTCTTCCAGAGGACCTGGGTTCAATTCCCAGAATCCACATGGCAGCTCATAACCATCTGTAACTTCAGTCCCATGGGCTCTGACTTCCTCTCCGACATCAGGCTGTGTGGCACAAAGACATTACGCTCAAGCAAAACACTCATACATATAAATTTTAAAAAAATAAATAATAAAATTTAAATGCATATGAGTTGTTAGCTCACAAGAAAAAAACAGGTACTTCATTCCCTCGTTCAGCCCCTGCCCACATAACTCTTTTCAGTTAGCACTTTGCTTGGGCCCTGTCCTAGGCCAGTGTCCTGCTCGGAAGCTTGCAACCATGGCTCACAGAGCATGCTGAGGTCAAAGGATGTGGGTCCACAGTGTGCTAGAACCACCCGTCCAAGTCTCTTACTCAATTGGGAACCACACACGGCAGCGCTGACTTCCCTGGAAGCTTTTCTCAGGTGAGGATCCAGTGAAGTGTCATCAAGAACATGGATACTCCACAGCATATGGAGGGAGGCTAGAGACCATCACCATCCCATAATCTTTCCTAACATTAGCTTTTGCCAATCCCACTTTTCCACCAGAGTTCACCCACTGCATCTGAAAACTATCCCATTTCTGTGTCTGTCTGTAGCCTGGAAGCCTGAGTGGTCCAGCTCCATTGATGCTGTTCTATAATGACCTGCCCAGCAGTCCCCAAGAGACAGCCCCTTTCTTTCATCTCTGTCCCAGTTCCCCCAGCCTCCACCCAAACCTCCCCAAGTTCTGTAAAATACTCAGAGAAGCCTCCATTCAAGACAAACTGAGAACAGAAAAGGAAGCCTGAACCCACAGCAGTCAGTCATCCCGACTACCCTGCACAAAAAAATCAAGGACTACCCAACCAATGGGCTTCAATCCCAAGACCTAACGCTACATAAGGGGCCAGCCCTCCACAGGAGCAGAATGAATCCTTGCATTAACAGGCAGTACATAGGGATGTAGGCTGCCTCTGGTTGGCCATGTGGCCAAGGCACAACTTTCCTGTAGCAAGACCCTCAGTAAAAGTAGTAGCCACAAGCAACAGGCTGCTATGGACCAGCCTTGCAACCTTGGACAAGTCCTCTAGTTTCAGTCCAGCTTGGGGGATGCTGAGGCTTCACTCACTACCAGGCAGCATCCAGAAAACACAAGACGTTCTATATCAATAATTAAGTCTGCCTTTGTTCATTTCTGGTTCATAAACTGGTGTCAATGGGGCTCGCAGAGATGGCTCAGCAGCTAAGAGCAATAGATATTTTTACAGAGAACCCAGGTTTCATTCCCAGCACCCACAGGTGGCTCACAACCATCTGTATGTCCATTTCCAGAGTATTTGGTACTCTCTTCTGGCCTCCTTGGGGACCAGGTACACACTTGGTGCACAGATATACACAGGCAAAACACCTATATACATAAAGTAAAATTTGTAATTAAAAAATCGGGGTTTGCCGGGCAGTGGTGGTGCACGCCTTTAATCCCAGCACTTGGGAGGCAGAGGCAGGTGGATTTCTGAGTTCAAGGCCAGCCTGGTCTACAGAGTGAGTTCCAGGACAGCCAGGGCTATGCAGAGAGACCCTGTCTCGAAACAAACAAACACAAACAAACACAACAACAACAACAAAGATCTCTTTACTAATTAAGTGTGATGGCACATACCTCTAGTCCTAGTAGCTAGAGAAGGAAGCATGAAGACCACAAGTTCAAGGCCAGCCTGATCTACACAGTCCCAGGCCAGCCTCAGCTAAACAAAGAGACACTGTCTCAGCCAGGCAGCACCTTGGAAACAGAGGCAAGTGGATCTCAAAGTTCGACCACAGCCTGGTCTACAGACAGGATGGCCAGGGCTACACCTGTCTCAGCAGATGGGGAGGTGGGGTTTTGGGGGGAAGAGAGGAGGTTATGAAGATAGCCTAGGGCAGGTGCACCAGCACCAGGACCTGAGTTTGATCTCCAGACATGGTGCTATAGGCTTGTGAGCCTAGAGTGGGAGGCAGAGACAGGTAGGTTGCCAAGTTAGCCCAGCCTACTTGGCAAGTTTCCAGACAATGATAGACTACCTCCTATAACAAAAGAAGACAGTACCTGAGGAACAACACCTAGGGTTAATCTCTGGCCTCAGGACACTTGAACTCAGGTGCCAAAACAAAAGATGTTGGGGGAGGCTAGGGGAGTGAATCATACAAATATCTCAGGGAGATAGGAAGGCTGGGCAGACTTCGTTTTGTTTTTGTTTTGTTTTTCCAGGAGGGGGTGGTCACAGAAGCCAAATCACTAAAATTCGGTCATGATCAGGATCTTATAATGAGAGAGAAAGAGAGAGAGAGAGAGAGA